CCCCCCCCCCCAAAGCAGGTGGTTTTTTTTTTTTTTAAATACCGTAGACGCCGCAGTCACACAATGGTTTTCCCACTACTCTCAAAATAGTAGTCATTGATTGGCTGCGCGCGGTCCATGACGTCCGGGGTGTGTGGGTGCAATGTTCACTGCCGATAGCAGGCCGTATCGCAGCATAGCGAACGCCTTCTGCCTCGCCAGGTGAACTCCTAGTCTGCCAGGCCACGATTACACTATACCGGATTCAATCATAAACTATTTCTACTGGTCTTTTTAGCTTACACTTCAAGTTTTAATTGAAAGTCTTTTAAACCGGGATTATTTCAGGTGCGACCGGTCATACGATTCTTTGGCCTAGACATGGCTAACATGACCCTCTGGATCAAGGCACGAGAGGGAGCAGCCTTTGACATCACAAGTCTCTCCAAAAGACGCATTCCCTCCTGTACAATACATACCAAAACATGCATTCCCTCCTGTACAATACATACCAAAAGATGCATTCCCTCCTGTACAACACATACCGAAACATGCATTCCCTCCTGTACAACACATACCGAAACATGCATTCCCTTCTGTACAATACATACCAAAAGATGCATTCCCTTCTGTACAATACATACCAAAAGATGCATTCCCTTCTGTACAATACATACCAAAACATGCATTCCCTTCTGTACAATACATACCAAAACATGCATTGCCTTCTGTACAATACATACCAAAAGATGCATTCCCTCCTATACAATACATACCAAGACATGAATTCCCTTCTGTACAATGCATACCAAAACATGCATTCCCTCCTGTACAATACATACCAAAACATGCATTTCCTTCTGTACAGTACATACCAAAACATGCATTCCGTCCTGTACAGTACATACCAAAACATGCATTCCCTCCTGTACAGTACATACCAACACATGCATTCCCTCCTGTACAGTACATACCAAAACATTATTTCCCTTCTGTACAGTACATACCAAAACATGCATTCCCTTCTGTACAGTTCATACCAAAACATGCATTCCGTCCTGTACAGTACATACCAAAACATGCATTCCCTCCTGTACAGTACATACCAACACATGCATTCCCTCCTGTACAGTACATACCAAAACATGCATTTCCTTCTGTACAGTACATACCAAAACATGCATTCCCTTCTGTACAGTACATACCAAAACATGCATTCCCTCCTGTACAGTACATAACAAAACATGCATTCCCTTCTGTACAGTACATACCAAAACATGCATTCCCTTCTGTACAATAGATACCAAAACATTACAAAATGCTATGCAAATTACAATCTAGTACTTTTTTTAATGAAATTTATTAACGTTTCATTGCTCACATATTTTTCACCTTTTGGGAGGGGGCAGGAGAGGTGCCAGACAGAGGGAAAAAAATAGATCACGCTAGAGA